AGTTAAGTTAAGTTAAGTTAAGTTAAGTTAAGAAAAAGGGGAAAAAAAATTGTTTGCAATGAAGTAAATTAAGAATATAATCTCAGCATTACTATAAATTAACACCCTAAAATTATGAAATCATATACCATGTACTCAAAAAATGCTGTAAAAATTATTTCCTAAAAAAACAAAATCCACTTTATAGCAACCGCTTCCGTCGATAAGTCGCTGTCGCAGCGGTAGTAGGTATGTAAATCATATTGGTGCTTTGCATGACACGCCCACCGGCGCCATTCCCGCCCGTATACCGCTGACGCGTCAACGCTCCAGCCACTATGGATCACGCCATCTTTTCTACGACGCGCCACTGCCCACCGACGAGTGTCAAATGGAGGATGTAATCTTACGTCGGCGACGGCGCTCCCAGCGCGTACGACGAAACTCTGCACAAGATCAACAGCGCCCCTATTCGCTTATTTCTACCGGCAGCAGTCGACTGAGCGCGGCGAGTACATCGACCACAGCATCAGCCGAGTTACGACGTAGTCTATTCACGAACAGCGTTGGTAGCAGCGCACCCAGCTATATGAGTGGTGTTAGTGGCAACAGTTTGCTGTCGGTGGATACTGGTTTCGTTGGCGGTGTTKACGAGAGTTCACAGCGCACACATTCCTGGCAGCCGCAGAGCGCTGGCGGTGATGAGGTTGTCAATAAAGCTCATCAAAAAGTGTCACGTAACAAATCATCGCCAGGCTGTTTGGTGCATAGCACACAACAACAACAGCAGCAGCAGCAGCAGCAGCAGCAGAAAGTGAATAAAGAGGAGGCGGCATCAGTTGGTTTGGGAAGCGGTTTCCAGCAGTTTTTGCGTCGCATGTCGATGCGGCGCACGGCAGCGCACATCAAGCCACGACCGCTTAGCAGCACAAATTCCATAAGGTGGGGAATAGTAATAATAACGGTTTATAAACTTTGAATTAAGTTCACGCTAGCTTCATTAAAGCTTTTGGATAGATGAATATACAACTTTTCTTCCGTCTTTATGTAGAAGCATTACCGAGGAGAGTACCACAAATCAATCCACACCTATGTCCAGTTCGGTGCCTTCGATTGAGTTAAGTACCGTTGCCACGCCAGAGGCGGATGAAGATCAGAAGGATGCGACAATGTGCGAGGATGATAGCTGGATTGTTCATATCGAAAATGAGGAAGTGGCGGGTGAGTCATAAAAAAGATTTCAGTAGAGAGTAGTAGTATTTACTTCAGTCTTTCTGCGTCAACTCATTGAGAGCCTGTGTTATATGAAGGATCTTCTAATATCCCAAGATCCATTTATCAGCTGTCAGAATTAGCCATTTACAATTTACTCCCCGGTGACCTTTAAACACTAAAATTCTTGTGGGAGTTATATGGAGGAGGATGAGGTGAACACATTCATGTATTTTCTCTTCCATTGCCCAGCTTTTGCAACACTGAGATTGAAAGATCTTCCCAGGCTTACCTTAGCGAACCAGAAGACATAAGATATATCCGAAATGACATTCAACTTCTCAATAAATTTGTGATAGGCCAGAGCATTTTGTCGATTTGCAAGAATCTTATGATCTACAATATAGAAATTTTAGGAACCACAAAGTACCAGCGTTCTAAGCTGTTCAAGTGAGATCCCTGTTAGGATCGAGTCATGCAGAGTCTGTGATATACTGAAGAGTCTTAATAAATCGATAGATCCGTCTTCAGATTCTTTCATTTACTTTTTGATCCATTCTGACCATCTAAGATATTTCTTGTTCTCAACTCGGGTTCAGCCTTTGTCGGAAAGTCCTTTGTCCTTATTTTATCAGGTTTAAAACTTAATTTTATTTCGGGGTTATATGATACCAGATTGGTTGGTGTTGTTGTTGTCGTAGCGGTAGAATTATGCAAATCTGGGTTTGTTCGGTTACGTAGACCCCACCGTCTGGGGAACGGAGCCAGATTGCGATCATTTTTTCGACACATAACCTCACACATTTCAAAAACAATATTTGTTTCTCGCTGACGTTATAAAAGTTCTTTTGTTCTCAACCCCGGATCCTCCTCTGTTGAAATCTTTTGATATTTTTTTCTAGTCCTCATCTTTTTATCAAATTTAAGACTATCTTATACTTCTAAGGCTGAATATTAGGGAAGTAACAATTCATCAGTCAGTCCCTGCACTCTTTTTCTCGAAAAGTTCTCTCGTGATACAAGCCACATAACCTCACAAATCTCTGTATTATAAAAAACATCAACAATCCTGTTCCGTATCCTACAGATGCCACCATTGACTACAAAACTTTGACCAACATGACAAATACACCGTTACACAACAATGATAACAAGCCGCCACAACGAAGAAACCCTATAAAACGCAGCCGAAGTGGTATTAAGAGATCAGCAGGTCGTGGCGCTGTTACTACTGTCACGGCCAACACATCGTCTGGCTACGATGCCGAAAGAAAATATGGAAAAATACCAGCACACATCTATTTGTTGTACCTACGTGCATCCGGTTGGCGAATGGTGACGATATTCTTTTTGACGGCGCTGATTTGGCAAGGCATGCGTGTGTACACAGATGTCTGGCTACAGCACTGGACCGACGGTAGCACAGGTAATGGCAACATAAACGTTAACAGCAGAGACAGCGGCGACATTGCTCGGAAACGAGTTGACAGCATGACGACGACTGTGTCGACGCCTCAGGCCTTTAATCGATTCGATATAACTGGCATAAACGCAACGGCAGCAACAGCAATACGAGCAGCGGCAGCATTACTGCAGGCGGCTGTCAACAAAACTGCTTACAACAACAGTAAGGTGTACAACAATGATAGCAGCGTCAATGGTCATGCCGAGGATGTCACGTATTATTTTCACATTTATTCGGCGATTTCGTGCGTTTGCATTGTAATGGCGGTGATATCGACACCAGTTGGCCAATTGGCCGGTTGCAACGCGCGCAGCAATCTACACGACCAATTGCTGTTGGCGATTATGCGCAAACCGTTGCACTTTTTCCAAGTGACCCCACTTGGACGACTGATGAATCGCTTTGGCAACGATATGGCCATCATCGATAAGGTGAGTGTGCGCCGAGCTGTGTGCGAAATAAAAATAAATATTTAATTTGCGTCAAAAGATAAAAAAAAGTTGTGAGAGGTTGAAATTTAAATCGGAAACGAGGTCAAAGTGTTAGCTTGTATAACTAGTATCCACTTTCAATCTTGAATAAATGACATTTGCTTACTCTTTCCTTACAGAAAATTGCCGCCACCAGTCAACGTCTCTTACAATTCTCTCTTCTTTGCTTATGCGCTGTGCTCATAAATGTCAGCATTACTCCCTGGTTTATATTACTCACAGCGCCGATTTGTTTTGCCTACTATGGCATACAAAAATTCTACCGTTGCTCGGCAAGGTTGGTGTCGAAACCGAATAAAAAGATTTCCCTACATTTACTGAACCAAAACTTTTACTTTGCAGAGAACTACAGCGCATTGAAAATTCGACAAGCTCGCCGGTGATCTCGCATCTGTCGGAAACCATACAAGGTGTTACGACGATAAGAGCATACAATCAGGAGGCACGATTTACCGAAATACTCTTTAAGCGCTTGGAGGCGAATACGATTGCATTTACGATATTGAATACAAGTAATCGTTGGTTGGGCATATCACTGGTAATTATGTATTTTAGTTATTTTTTTGGAATATTTAGCAATGATACCGGTGCTGTCATTAGTAATGGTTATGAAACTGCTGTTGCTAATCACTACTGGTAACGATATTGGTATTGCTAATGATACTGGTATTGATAATGATACGGGTACTGTTACTGATAATGAAACTGCTACTGGTAATTATACTAAAATTAGTAATGGTACTTGTATGTGTACTTTTATTGGTAATGATACTGGTAATGAAACAGCAATTGCTATTAATGCCGCTACTGGTAATGATACTGGAATTGGAAATGGAACTTGTATTGATAGTGATATTGAAAATGATACTGGTACTGTTACGGATAATGAAACTACTATCGCTAATGTTACCGCTCTGGTAATGGTAGTGGTATTAGTAATAGTAGTGCTACTGGTAATCGAAGTGGTATTTGCAATGATGCTGATACTGCTACTATTACTGATAATGGTACTTCTAATGGTAATGAAAAAGTTTGTGGTAATAATACTACTTTCGGCAATGAAAGCTTTTAGTAAAAGAACTGCTATTGAAACTGATACTGGTACTGCTACTTTTACTAATAATGGTACTCGTATTGATAGTACACTGATACAGTTACTGGTACTGGAACAGATATGGACAATGATGCTGATACGGATAATGTTACTTGTATTGGTAATGAAACTGTTAATGGTACTGCTATTGGTAACGATACTGGTACTGCTACTGTTAGTGTCATTGGTATTTGCATTAGTAACAAAATTGTTTTTGTAATCGTACTGCTATGAGGCCGAACTATAGCCCGCTGTATATGCAGTCTTTTTTGATTGCCATTTTTCGATAAAAGTAATCGAGTCAGTTTTTCGCTTTACTACTTTCCATTTTTGATTAATCAAGTACACCTCCTTCCTTTCTCACAGGACTTTCTAGGTGGCTTCATCGTCTTTATCGCCGTTATAACCGCTTTGATAGCTGCTACCATTAGTTGTAATCGTTACAAATCAAAACTCGGCAACGGCACCCACAATATAAATGAATTGCTAACGCCATCGCCATCACTCGTCGGTTTGGCCATCAATTACACACTGCTAATGCCGATCTACTTGAATTGGGTAGTGAAATTATTGGCTGATATGGAAATGTATGTGGGTTCAGTGGAACGTATAGCTTACTATGCGGAAATTGATCAAAATGTCGAAACACCGTTAGATATAACATGTGACGATGACACAGCCACAAATGTGAAAAAAGCCAAAACAAAAGCGACAGGGAAATCAGTTAATCACACTTCTGTCAATTTTGAAGTGGCGCGTGTGGAGTATTGTAAACCTAGAAGCTTGTCGGTGCCGTTGGTTATGAGTAATTGTAAGTTTCAGAGATTTGTTATTTCACAAAAAAGCTTTTTTGAAGAATTTATTTTACAAAACTTAATGTAATTAAAAAAAAAATATATATACATATATATAATTTATTTCTGTTGCCAATAATAGTTTTATAAACATTTGAATAATCATAAATCATACATCAATTGATGCATTTAAATTTATGTTCATATGTATCTCCTCTTTTGTTGAATATTTTAGCGACTCATAAATCAAAAGCTACTTCAAAAGAGCTTTTTGTTAACATTGATAGTTGTTCGTATGTACAACGCTAACGGAAATGTAATGCATTGACATTGATTCATAGACATATATTAAACCATTTTTTGGCGAAGTAAGATCTTATATATTAAATAATCATCAACTCTTTATTCTACAGATGAATCCGTACCCATTTCATGGCCACGGCAGGGTGACATCAGCTTTGAGAGTGTCAGCTTGCGTTATGAAGGTCAGAGAGACGAAGTGATTAAGAATTTGTCATTAAAAATTCCTTATGGCCAAAGGGTAGGTTATTGTGTGTTATTCGCTCTTTACAAAACAAATTTTGGCCTAAATATTTAGGTAAAAAAAAAGTATTCCGATAATAATTTTTCGATTAATTTTTTAATAATAATGGAACAAAAATCTAAAATTATCGGAAATAATCGATTAGTATTACCTTAATTTTTAAAATTTCTAAAAGATTATCTAATATATTTGTTTGTTGTTTTTTCAATATGAATAAAATATTATTTATTAGAAATATCGAAAAATTTAACTTATCGATAATATTTTTTCAAACACAAAAATTAAGAACTTTAAAGAAATGTTAGTGTTATGTTAACGAGATATTGTTAATGGAACAAAAGTATAAAATGATCTGAAGTAATCGATTATAATTACATTGATTTTTATATTAAAAAATATTTTTTTCATTATGATGTTTTTCATAACATATTTCATTAATAAAGATAACACAACAACGGTTACATTTATCGATTTTTGTTCCGATGCAGACGCAGGGCATACCCAGTTTTTACATATCGATAACTATTAATAAAAATGTACTACAAACAGTAAATGTAAAATAATCGTTTACTTTGTATCCAAAAAATATCCATAAATATTGCGAAAATTATAAAAATCTAAATTTAATTGTTAAAATATTTCACATATGACATAACATATTTCATTTTTAAAAAGAACACGACTTAAGCGATTAGGATTGTTGAATGCCAGTCATATTATATTTATCGCTTTTTGTTAAGATGAAACCATCGTATGCAGAGCAAATTTTATATTTCGATAATAAATTACAGAAATGTATTACAAACAATAACGCAAAATTATCGCAAATTATCGATTACAATATGCTGTAAATTTGGTATCGAAAAATATCGATAAATATTTCGAAAATTATTAAAATCTGAATTTAATTGTAAATAAATTTCACATATGACATAGCTATTTCATTTATGGAGATAACGCAATAGTAATCGGTTATCGATTGTGATCACATATTATAGAACAACTGAATCGATTATTATACTGATGATATATTGGTATACATCGCATTTTCTAAAACTCTTATACTCCTTCCTGCAGATTGGCATTTGCGGACGCACCGGCAGTGGCAAATCTTCATTAGCCATGTCCTTGTTGGGTGTGTTACAAACGACAGCGGGACGCATTTGCATCGACGATGTGGACATAACGAAAATTCATCCAGACGAAGTGCGCATGCGTGTTTCGATGATACCACAGGATGTGCATGTCTTCAATCTGAGCATACGCGAGAATCTTAATCCAACAGCTTACTATGCCATCTCCGAGCTGTGGGATGCGCTAGATAAGGTGGGATTGACGAGTTTTGTCAATCAGTTGCCAGACAATATTGGTAAGTAGTTAATTTTACCTTTTCAAAGTGTATCGTTACCGTTACTTTAATTGCAGATACCATTGTTGGTGATGGTGGCATACAGTTGAGCGCCGGTCAACGCCAGTTGCTCTGCTTGGCGCGTATTCTCTTGCGCGGCTCGGTTTGTTTGATACTTGACGAAGCGACCAGCTCTTTGGATAGCGGCGCTGAGCAGGCGCTCCTCACAGCGGCACATAACTCCTTCCGCGGTCGAACGATTATAACCATTGCGGTGTGTAAATTATTCTCTTTATATATTTTATAAATATTCAATTTCTATAATATTATTTGAAAATACTATTTCATCATTTTCACTTCCAAATTTCAGCACCGTCTCTCCACAATACTTGATTATGATCGCATTATTGTTTTGGAGCAGGGTCGCATTATTGAAGACGGCACGCCTGCTGAGCTGCAGCAGCGTAAAGATGGCACCTTCTATGGTTTATTACATTTAGGGCGTACCGTGGCTGGTACTAATTTTCCTCAGCTGTAAATGCGAGTTTAAAATTTTAACTTTGAAAACTTTACTTTCTAATGGTATTGTATTTATAGTGAAATGCTTGTGTTAATGGCCTTATATATTTAAGTATTTTTCTAAATTTCGTGCATTTTATGAAATTTTTCGTAATTTTAAAGCAACCCACAAGTGTCAACTAAGTTTCGCCCCTTTAAATAAGAGTATTATTGTTGTAACTATATTAATTTAACTTGCAGTAATGCGTACTAAATGTAAGTTCTCTACTTAAACTGAGATTGAAATGAGTTATTGTTTGGCCATATTGTTTTCTAGTCTTTATTTATAAATTAAAAATTGTACAATTTATACGACAAACATATTTAGTAGGCGCGCCCTTGGATTGTACTTATATTTAAATTCGTTTACTTACATATATACACATATATTTATGTACCAAGTACTATACAATCGCTTTGTATTGGAGTATGGGCACGTACTTACTAGACTAATGTCTGAAACCATGCATTTGTATAAATAAATAAAATAATACAAATAAAATGAAGATTTCTTGGCTTCGTGAAATATAAAATAAGAACTTCGTGAGACATATAGAGCTGGAATTGCCAGTGTAGATTATATATTTTTATGTATATAAAGTCTAGTTAAACAGAACTCATTTCTACTTGCCTGCGATTTAAGCGTTTATTTAGTATGGTGAGAATGACCTCATTTATACCATATACTTGTATGCATCGTTTTGCTGGATAACTTGTTGCCTTTATGAGGGTAATCTTATAATGCCACTCTAAAGGAACCATCTTCGTTTTTATTAGCAAACTCTGGGACAATCGATCTTCACAATCGATCTTCTCTTTTTCTTTACGCAAATCGTTCCCGAGCAAAATTATTCGCCATAATTAAGAAAAGATTGTAATCACTTGATGCCATCTACGTTAGATGCAGAACACCGAGTAAAAGGCTGAGCATGCCTATATCAAAGGCAGGTCGGTTGACATAGCGCCACGACAGTCGGGTCTACGTAACCGGAAGATCTGAAGATTTGTTGTATAGACAACTCGGCAGTCTTACCTTCGGGGAACCAGGAGACATAGCCGAAACTGATATTGGCCGCCTGAACAAATTTGTGATAGCCTCGAAACGCTTTGTGAATTTGTAAGGGTTTTATGATCTATTAAAAAGGAGTTTCAGGTAACACAATGAACCGGCGTTTTAAACTGTCTTAGTAAGATTTCTGTTCCACTTAAGCTAACCTAGTCTAACCTCTCGATGCTGGCCACTTCTGGGCGAATGCTTACATATTTCATATGTCCCAATTGTCGATAGTACCTGTCCGAATTCAGAGTATGGACCTTATGGAAGGAGCTCATATTGAATGATTATTTGCCAATCCCACTGAAAACACAGCAAAGACTGTCTGAACGGAAAAAGTGGCTTGGTCATGTATATATGTACCTTAAAATTTTTAAATAATATGTTTTGAGTCATAACTGGGCAACCTCGAACTTCACTTACTTTCTTAAAGCACTTCATGGGCACTTTTCTTCGGCTGAGTATTAACTATTTGTTATATATGTTATTTTGAGGTTAGGGCTTAGTATTTGACGTGCTTGCGTTAAGCAAAGGCATAAGAAATAAACAAAGAATGAAAAATAAAATAGTAAAAAAACTTTACAAAACATAAAATCCAAATCCACTGACGTAAAGAGTGCAACAATAACAATATTCGGCGTATAACGGTGAAACTGGAGTGTGGAGTAGTTGTACTAGCAGCAGCTGCAACGATGGTCAGCACGTGCCACAAGCAGCCGACTACGATGCATTCTATATGGACGGATAAATATAAAGATATGGTACGAGCACTTTTGTTAGTATGTATTTATAAATGTAGAAGTATAACTGTATATACCACACTTTAAACGAGCCGCTGTAATAGTGTCAGCACATATGTATCTACATAGTGTGAGTGTGTTGGCACATCGTATATTATATAAAATATGTTTGTGTTGTTTTGTTTGCACCGATACGTGTTTATTGCCAAACATGTGAGCGCCCACATACAAACACTTGAGAGTGCAAATCCCTTTAAATTGCTATGTGACACCCCATTTGCCTTGAGTGTATACGATTGCAGTGGTTTAAATGGTATTTTCGAAAGAAGCACAATAAGAAGCTTCTCTTACACGTTAGTTTTGAAGGTGTGACATGTGGGGAAGCACGGTGTATATATTTTGAAATTCAAAAGGGAACTGGGAAAGCAAAAATCTCTTGTTAGTTTTAAATTAAGCATCGCAGAGTATTAGAAGGTGAGAAAAATGTTTATTGAGACTAGAAAAGGTGGGAACAGCTTTATCAGTATTACAAATAATGATAATCTAAATTATGATCCCGTAATAGCGATCGGATATTCACTTTAGAGCTTTTATAAATAATACATGAAAGTATTTATTACATTTTTTGTGCTAAAACCAACGAAAGTGATCCTCTAGATCTACAATACCATGTTCAAACCCATTATGTTCTATGGAGTTTTTATGTAGTGGAGGGCTCTAGAAAGTACCACACCTATATGGAATCTCGAGAGTGTTGAAGGGGCGGCGCTCATCAGCATATGTCGTGCAATAAGATCCACTTCAACCATTGCACTTAACGCCATCCTGCACATAATATTGCCCGCGGACATCGCCGAAAGGTGAATGGCTGCGAAAGTTGCCATCAGGCTCAGAGAGGCTGGGTTCCTAAAGGAACAAGGGTCTGAACACTCGGAAATTCTCACTTACTTTGACTTCATACTGGATCACTTGAATCATGGAGTCCCTAAACCGTACTCTGGCGGCTCCATCTCTACCCACATAACAGTGAGGGAATTGTGGATGGGAAGAAGCTGTTGGACTAGAAGCGGCAGTGAGCTTCTTCACGAAGGTTGGTGGAGAGATCCATTTTTAGGAGCTCTCTATCAACTTAAGTCTCAGAATTTCTGACTAATGCTATTGCCGGCCGAGGTTGCAGCCATTAAAGTAGCAGTAAATTTACTGCTCGGGGTGCAGCCTACTTCAGAGTACTGACTATCTACTCAGATAGCAGATATTACCCTTGAACTCATTAAGAGTGCTTTCAGAGCTGGTCAATAGCATCGAGTGTCCTTGTGAAGAATGGTATGGGTACCAGGCCACAGCGGAATCGCAAGAAATTGTAAAGCTGATGAGCTACCAAGAAAAGGCACCCTAGAACCGCTATCGGTAGAATGGGCGCGTATAGGGGTTTCCGTTTCCCTATAGCTTGGCCAAGCGGAAGCTTGATCAGGGCTAGACCACCGAGCTGGCGGGATGGAAATTAAACGCCTGTGCAAATTTGTTTTGGCTACTAAGAGTTTTGCTAATTTATAGTTCGAACACAGGATTTATTATTTGCTATTACCTAACAAAGGTCTACATATAGTCCACGTGCGATTTTTGATCAGCCATCTAACCTAACTTAACTGAACATTGTGCTGAAATACGAAACTGAAATGCAGTAACCTTAAATTCATTGGCAAAGTTGTTTATCACACCCGAAATTCGAACTATTTTCAAATTCAAATTACTTTTGATCAAACTCAGCCCTTTAAACTTTCTTTAAAGCTTAAGTTGTCGCTGTCAAAGTTCAAGAAAAAAAAGCCCTTTAAACGCACATAATACCATCATGAGCTAGAAAAGAAGCAGGAATAACAATAAGATGCAATAACTTGGCGAAATTTTGTTAGTTACAAAAACAAGATTTAAAATTTTTCTTTCGTTTTTCTGCAAAGATATTTTCTTGCCGCATAAACTTCTGAATCTGAAAGTGAGCTTTATTTAACATATATTAATATACATTGTTGTTTGTATTCCATCGCTTAAAGTTCATGCGACAAGGTCTTCAATATTTCGAAAGCAAAAGAACAAAGTAAAAGCTCTTAAACTTAATATAAGCGTTTACATAAAAATTTACACTCACCATTAGTTAGCTAAAACGCAGGAAAATGTAGATAAATGTTCAACAAAAGAAAACAAGTAAAAGAGAGAAAAGTAAGTGTGAATATCTTATACTTTCACAATTGGGCAAGTGTCAAGGGCGGAGTCTAGCACAGTTTAGGAGTTTAAGCTAAAGTCTGGAACTATTTCATTCGTATTCAGCGCTAGACCAAAGTATATGCTCTAATTTTCATTAGGACACCTGACATATATACTAACGTACTATATATGGCAAAAGTCAACCAAACGGAAATCGGGATTGTCCACATATACTTTAGACTTTACATATTCCCACAGGAAAAAGTCTAGCGGTGTGATATCACACGATCTTGGAGCCCAATCGACCGGCCCAAAACGTGAAATTATTGAAATGTTAATTGCGTCGAAATCCCGAGCTTCAATTTTAGGCATTAATTAGTCAGTTATCATGGCGAGATAACGGTCGCCATTTATCATTTTTGAAAAAATATGGACCGATGATTCCATCGACCCACCAAAATGTTGTATTTTCTGGATGAAATGTCAGCTATTGAATCTCTTGACAGAAGTACTTGGATCACCTGTTGTTTAGTGTATAGGAGGGAAGTACTATTGACCTGATTTTACCAATTTTGGACACACAGGCATGACATTATCAAAAAGAGAATGTCTCCTAATTTCAATAGTAGATCCCACAGATAGACTAATATTTTCACTAAGAAGTCAGCCATAGGCACTGTTGTCTATATATTCGGTAAGGTTTCGACAATTTTTCGACTTTAGATGACAAATATTAGAAGAACTTCATTTCGATATTTTAAGAGCAATTATTTTTGTGGGTGGGCCCTGCCACGTGTAAATCGTCCAATTTTAACACCTTTTCCACGATTTCGATAGTTTTCTCAGACGCATTGACAAGACTACGCTGTAAGCATCTGCGATATGATACACTGGAGGAAGCGTCGATTGTGAGGCCACAGAGTCTTTTAAAAAGGTAAACAAAAAGATCAATGGCTTGAGGAAGGGTTGTTGACTTTGCCAATGGTAAACAAAAAGGTCATTGACTTCAAGGTCAATACTCGTATCTAACTGGAACTGGAATATAATAACTGGAAAGGTTCCTGACCTTGCTAAATACAAAAGCTCATTGACCGCAGGTAGTTAAATAAATCGAACTTATCGAACGTACATGAGCTCAGGAGAGGTTCTACGTTAAAGTTAAACAAATTGTCAATGATTTCGAGAAGGGCTGTTGATTTTATTAAGGATAAAAGTCAATGCCTTCAAAAAAGGGTTTGATCACGCTAAAGGTAAATCAAAAGGTCTTTCACTGCACTGACGTTAACCGCCCGCGGGAAGGGTTGTTGAATTCGCTTAAGCGTTACATAATAAAAGTAAACACATAAAGTTCATTAATAAACTTGATCTCATAAATAACCTAACGAACTGGCAAGAAATAAGGTAAAATAAACAGATCACTGTTAACTTTGTTCAATCAAATTGTTTGAAGATTTTGTATTATGTGTCAATATACATATATATAAAAATAAAATAATATTTTTATAGCAA